TTTTGACTTCGAGCTGTCACAACTCATTGCATTACAAACATGTTCTCTGTCTTACAACGTTTACATATTGTACCGTATATCCAAAGTTTTAATGTAAAACATCGCAAACCTTTCCCTTCTAGAAGTTCTGCGGAAAATAAGTTCTCATGAAGGACTTACAGTAAATCACCTGGTATGACAGTGGTGAGAACTTCTTTGCACCTGAGAAAAGTGCTTACGGGTGGGTGGGTAACTTCACAAGAACTCCAGTCACTGATAAATTACTTTCAGTAAAACCGCTTTATTTATTGTCAAGATCACAACATGTGGAACAGATCGGATCTTCAGGGTCACAAAACCCCTGGAAGGGGACTTTCCCAGTGTGCGTTTCTAGTACAAGTGCATTTGAAAAACAATGCATCAAATAAAATCCACGACTGTCCTGCTTTGATGTCCACATGCACGCGTGTTCATGTAATCTCAGGGTAGACTTCCGTCTTGAGTGCCTTCTTACTTTTAAAAAAATCAGTAAGGTGGCTACAAAGAGGTATGTAGCAAGTATTGGACCCAATACAAGCCATAATGGATCATTAGCTTTGAACAACCTGTCATGCTTTGATGTCTGCATGAAGGTCTGTACATGTATATTGTTGAGTAAATCATGTCTGGAGGCAGTGGCTTCAAAGCTGTATGGTGCTCATTCATGGCATTGAACAAATAACATAAAACTTCCAAGCAAGGGTTGTACTTTGATGTCTGCATACACCTACTAGCATGAACATGTATATCTTTGGATGAGTCACGTCTAGAGGCATGCATGAATTGTCAACAGGTTGGCTTCAAAAGTGTATGGTGATGTATATAGTCTAAGGCAGTGAAGACATACGTGACATTTCAAAGCATTAAATTACAGTTTATGTTTATCTCTGGACAAATTATGTCTGAAGGCTTAATTGCACTAATTGTTAGAGAGGTGGCTATGAAGTCATAAAGAAGTGCATCATGTAAATGGTATTACATGTTCATTGTCATCAAAGCCTCACAAGTATAAAATCAACTTGTCCTAACATCTTTTATATTGTTGCTATTCTTACAGTGTGCTGAAAGTATAACTGTACACTTTTGTGAAGCTTGTAACAGACATTTTGCTGAATACAGATCTGATATTGTAAGGAACTGGCCAGACCTGGAATTAGAGCTACGTGTACCTGCCCTTTTTTTTCTCACACTAAATCTGCATGTACAAACTCTACATTCTGCCAAGTATAAGCCCTGCGTGCTCCTGGCCCAAACAAATTAGCTACGTACGTTATCAAATCAACTGTGGGAGAGTAAATTTTTAATGAGAAATTCCTCCCATTATAAATTTGAACATACCACTCAGAAGTGCCCTAACACATGGGGATGCTCTTGAGGAGCCATGCTAAGTAATGGTAATATAATCAGGGCTAGAAATCCTTTTTCTGCAGCAGAGTTTGATCTATTTCTTTTATACTTCTTAGGTGTTAACTGGTGGTGCAGCAAATAAAAATCCACCTACACCTACATGTATATATAAGGTCTCATTCATGTATTACTCCGAGTGTACCCCCTAAAAGAGTACCAAGTCAAAAACTAAACGGCTGTATGAACGCGTGTTTTTATTGGTGAGAATTTTCCCTTTAGCCATCCCAACTGATGTAAAACGTCAAAGCAGTGAAAGCTTGTTTGTAACTGATGAAATTAGGACGTAATTGTCGGCAGCCGCGCGCTAGGTCGGACGTGCACAGTCCAGTGTTGTGAGTTGTGCGGTCGTAGGTTTGCAGCGCGGGAGGACCTCTTGCGGGCAGCCGCTAGGTGCAGTTTGTAATTCCCATAAAAAGGGATTGTGTGTTTAGAAGTCGTTGGCAATTTTTTTATGAGACGTAGAGTAAGTGTGCTTAACATAGCATGAAAGATATCAATTGATTTAATGTAGGATCATAGGGAACACGGTCTCGTAAGTCACTCATTAATGCATGGTTTCTAATGTATGGAAAAAACTCATGAATGAGACCTTAATTAGAAATGAAAAATATTCACCAAAAATCAACGATTAGTGCTAAGGTCCCAATTTTTGAACAATGTTTGCCCAGGATTTAATGTCCGATTTTTCAGCGCAAGTTGCATTGCGTAACCACGCCCGTTGCCATGGCAACGGACGAGGCCATTTCTGCGGGGGTTGATTGACGCCGTCCTTTCAACATTCTCCGTTTTACAAAGATTTGCAGTCAAATAACGTTTTGAAAAGCTGACATAGTCAATGATACATACACTATAGATTATTCCCTGTCTATTGGTGTTGTGTAAGACGTCTGTAAAGCAAGGACTGACAAGCACACGCTTGCAAATTATATAGAAATCGTGTAAACCCAAATTCACGGACAACACATGCAAACATTAGAACCGTCGATTACGGAACTTAGATGTTCATATGAAATTGTGGGTAGAGTTAAGGAACCACAGAACAGGAAAAGATTCAAATACTAAGGTATGTGCGCTCTGCTTTCAGGAAAAGCGTCAAATACAAGGCAATCCGATGCGCTACGGATTGTTCAAAACCACCTTGCCCGCAGCCTGACTGTGTACCCACCTAAAATCGCATGCCTGACAAGTAGGGTTACCTGATTGCATCCCAAAGTTATACCCATTACGTCTGATTACCCTGCTGGCCGAAATTTGTGCCATTGTTACCCCCCCCCCTACACACGCACGCACGCACGCACGCACACATGCACGCATTGAGTCTGGCG